CAAATGCCTTTTGGTTGTTCAAGGGAACTGAAATAAACAATTAATGTGATTTGAGTCTCAATTCACATTTACTTCAAAGCAAGTTGATTAGACCTTTAAATAAACCAGGTAGACCACACAACATCTCTACGAGTCTCTAAATGATTTTAGCTACTTCCAGAAAGTAATTTCTAGCAGCTTAATCTAACTTTTAATATCTAAAGATAATTTACATTTCAAATAATCTGAATCTTTTAAATAGTATTTTTAATTGGTAGGGCTACATTGCTAGGAAATTTAATAAAGACTAAATCAAAAAACAGAAAAAGTCTTGATTGGAAGGGATTTTCAATATTATTTAGAAAATGCAATAAAAATGCAGAAAAGTTAATACACCTTTCTTCCCCCACCTCCCCAAGATGTCTGCTACTAGAATATTTCACTGAATCTGCAATTGCTGTAGACTTCCTCCGTGTAAAAATGTAAGGCTAATTCCCCCGCCTAGTGTGTTTCAGAATAGCTCTGTTTAATCAATGAAGCCTTGTTGCTGCAGAGTATCAGAGGAAATTTTGCCAGTGTTTTTAATCAAAACTTTTTTAAGATTTTCATAGTTGCATTTGGGTTTTGTAACACCATAATCTTATAATCAAAACTTCCAAACTTGTTTCTCTTCCTTATCAATTCTGTTCCCTGTTCAAGATTAACTGTTTTAGAGGAGGCCAAATCTAATTTGTCCTTGAATGCATGAAACAGTCTGTAATGACTGAATTGGAGACAAGATATTTTCTGTGAAATTTTAAGTCAGATCCTGCATTTATGTTTGGAGACAGAAGTATTTTTTGCTTACAGGGTACATTCAGGACAGTTTCAGTTTAATTTTCTTGTAGTGCTCTTGCCAAGCTATTGTCAGTTGGTTTTCTGAGAGTTTAAAAACAGCTCTGTTTCATTGGCAAACTTGCAGCCTGTATTTCAACATTGAAGCTAACAGAATTCATTAAAATGGCAATCTATATTCCTGTATTTTAGCTTGCAAGTAGGTAGTGTATACCATAAATTTTGTACTCCAACATGCTGTTAAGTTCATACGGTTCGTTGTGGATGACATGTATAATAATCATTATTATTCATTTTGTATACAACCCCTTCTTTAAAACATGCCATAAATAACATCAGGAAAAGGCAGAACTAACCTTTGAAGCTGTGACAACTCATTAGTTGGATTTACCGTTTTGGAGACTTCTGTGAAAAGCTACTGTCTTTTATCAGAAATCAAAGGTTGAACATTAACCATATTTCAAATATCGTAAAAGTCAATTATACTACTTTATTTCTCTCACCACAGTTATGTCACAGATGAGCACTGTAAAACTGAAATTGTCAAAACGTACCTACTTTCCCCAAAACAGTCTGTTTTGCTTATTACACTGAAAAGAGCAAAGTTCTCACACTCATTTAGGAAAAAACAAACAAAGGTTTTCCTGAAATTCCAGTACTGGATATATGACAGTCAAGAATCTAAGTCTTTATTAAAGCAGTAGGAGTCTTCAGAGGGGTGTTTCCAAACTTAACTCCTCTCTTTTTATAGGTTCATGTTTCTTACTGGAAGATCAGATGGATGAAAAGTTTCGCAAGAGATTTAAGCAACTGTCATTTTTTGAAAATTATTCTTGAACATGTTTTCTTTCTGGATATTTCCATTCTTAGTATATTGTTAAAGTCTTGTTCACTGAATTATAATATTATAAAAAGCATTTAATTTATTAAAGTGATTAATTTTGTTGTAGTCCTAATTAGCCAATCCAGGTACCTGTAGGTACATTAAATACTACAGGACCATGTGACATTGCAGTCTGTACCAGCTATGAATTCAGCAAAAATGGCTATGTTCAGAAGTGTAGCTTGAGGAATCTGCTTTGTTATAAGTGTGCAAGAGTGAGAGGGAGCTCAGATGTGTGCTCACGTTACTGGTTTAGCATTGAGTGGCCGTGGCCAAGTCAGCGAGCACTGTCAGGACTTGGTTTCCCAGATGCTGCAAGGCTACTTGGCCAGGGGTAAATAGTGCTTCCTACAGAAGAGGGTTTGTAGAGGCCAGCAGTAGGTGCTTAGAACCTGAGAGCAATGCAGGGTACGTTGGAGGGAGCTTATTTTGAATTTGGCCCAGTCTGGTCCCATGGCATTAGCTGGTAACACACGTTAGGTGTGATTCTGAGGCAAGTGTTCTGCTTTACTGTCATCCAAAAGGTATGCAGTTTGTGTGCTCCAGGGCCAGTCAGTAAGGTGGAGCAAAGCCTGGTGAGGACATTCAGATGATTTGTTTAAAAGTATACTCACGATTTTAACTGAATATTAATGTTGACTCACTCTAAGCTATAGCTGTTGCTGCAAGTGGCACTCTTCCCCTCCCATTAACTTCAGAGGCTTGGATTTATCCCGTGCCTCATTTTCCCTTTTGTCAACAAAAATGTTTAGGCAACTGCAGGGCAAAGCAGGCCGCGGAGTTGACTGAAGACAAATAAATCAGTTGTCAGGATGGGTATAAGCAACTGTATCATGTGTAGGACTGTCCCTTCTGGTAACAGTGTGTTTTTAAGATGTTTGTGTGGTTTTAAGATGTTTGTGCAGTTATAGTAGTAATCTGCAGTAAATGGAAGAGGGAGCGTGGGCAGTATAAACCCATGGAGGTTGTATGGAGGAAGTATAATACTGCACATTGTATTTCATGGATGTACCAAACATGCAATCAGTTATTTCTAAGCAGCTGGCACGTGGTAGCATGTTAAACTGTGGTATCTTGAGGAATCTTAGATTAGACACTAATAAAATGTATGTACAAAGAAGAGAGTGATAGACCTATAACAACATCAGTCTGTTTTCTTTGAAGATTTTTCTTTTTCTGGATATTCAAAAGGAAAGTGAAAATTTGGTTATGTACATTTAGTCAAACAATGAGGGGCTTGATCATGTAAAAAGCAAGATGTTTCATAATTGTTTGATCCTGTCCTGTTCCCCTCAAGCTTCTGATTTTTACTATATCTGAACCACATGGTTTCTCTGACTGTAGTGAGATAAGTTTTAATTTGATCTCAGAAATGGTTCACAAAGGATTTGTTTTCACTTTCTATTCTATACCTTTCTAACTAGAAATGGAATACAGTGTACTTGAAAAGCTAAAAGTACTAGTGAGATAATTTTCTTCCAGTTTACATAATTATGTAGTCATAGTTCTCCTGTTTCTGTCCAACAGTGAGAATATACAGCAGCAACAGTACAGTATGGTGATAGGTAGGTAGGTATGGTATGATAAATCTGTTTCCAAGAACCTGAACGTACAGAACTTCCAATTGGTTCATTACCAGGAAGCAACCCATTTGGTCAAAGGCAGTAGTAGTTATATTAAACGTTTCTGTGAGGGCTATCAACTAGAGGAGGACCCAAAATTGATACCCAGGTAACTCTATGATTTGTTCCTATTTTTGGACTGGTAATAATTTGAGAATTTATATTATCATTATTATATTTTGCAGGGGGGGACAGATAATTGCATGTATTAAACATACTGAGGAGATATGCTTGCTGGAAAAAATGTCATCTGAATCTCTTGTAAGCTTTAACTCTATTTGGGCATTGCAGTTGATTTTGCAATCCTATGGGTGAATTGTGCGAAGGCAGACTAACTCAATTTCTTTCTGTCTGATGGGCAGAAATAAAAGTAGTTTGTTATTTAGCTAGTGTCTAGAATCTTTGTCTTAAGGCAGTAGAGGAAACTGAGGTGGGTTTAATATAGAGAAGTCAGCTTTCTACTGGGGTGGTTGCTGAATGTTTTATTTAGCTTGGTTTCTAACTCACTGTTACCTCTGTCGTTGCTCATTTTATGAGGCTACGCATATTTATATAATGAATTTCTACTTCATTTACTTACTTCTGCCTGCATCATTAGCATGAATGCTGTTAAAAAGGTCACTACAAAAATATAGTGTTTGTCCGAAACCGATTAGAGATTTGTCTTGCATTTTTGTTATTGTAATTATTTGAGGGTTTTTTAGTGACTGTCACATGTTTGTCAGAAAGGGACAAAAGAGCTGAAACAAGAGGACACTTTCTTCTACAGCCTCATAGTTTAGACATGTTATGCATCAAATAGAAACTGCTTCTTACACTTCCTTTAATTTCTGGATGAATGTTCAAGTGAATGAGATGCATAAAAATGGATTTAAAACCAGTCTGCAAAAGCAGGAGAAGATCAAGTCATTTGATTTATGGGGTGTCAGAAGCCCTCCCTGGATACTCTGCTGACTTGTGGCAGAGGAAACATAATAGTTTTAGAAACCTGAAGTATGGCTGAGGCACCGGCACAGGGTGCCCAGAGCAGCTGTGGCTGCCCCCTCCCTGGAAGGGTTCAAGGCCAGGTTGGACGGGGCTGGGAGCACCCTGGGCTGGGGGAAGGGGGCCCTGCCCGTGGGAGGGGGGTTGGAACTAGATGGTCTTTAAGGTCCCTTCCAACCCAAACCGTTCTATGATTCTACGACTGCTCTGAGAGTTCTACCAGACAGATTTCTTGTGTCGATGATAATCTGGAATTTGGAAACTGTTGGGATGTAATCTATGGTTAATTCAGTGTATTAGACGATGTTACAAATGGAGGGAACACATAAATCTCTGAGATTTATTGAAAAACATTGTCATATAATAATGATTGTCATATAATGATGATTGTCTGATGATCTGCCAAGTCACTGGTGTACAAATTACACTACTTAACTTGTGAAACCTCTTCCTTGCGTTTGATACAATGGTGCTACTATGTGACCTCCTCATATAACAGCAGTTGGAACCACAAAAACTTGTCCAAAATACTATTGCTTGCAAGATCAGTGCTTTCTCTTTTCTTGTATACACACCATTTTCTGTGGTATTTTCTCTTGTGATAGAGGTAAATATAATGGATTTTGTGAGACTTTTTCCCCTAGCACTAATTAATATCTGCAGAACATGTTTTCCATTCTTTGTTTCTTATTTTGAAGGAATTAGAGATAAGAATTTGCAAGAAACTGAAGCAAAAATGGAGTCAAAGGTGTCAGAGAAAAAAGCAACACAAGGCAGAAGAAAAAGCGAAGAAGGTGATTTTAAACAAGCAGAGTTTGAATGTGATCATAAATCCAAAAATCCCTGGGGTAAGTCAGGATGGACACATCTGGGAAGATCCTGATAAGACAAACACTGGCAATAAAAAAAAAAAAAATGGAAAAAAAAAGTACATTTTGATCTACCCTAACAGTGAAATTTTGAAATTGATTTTTTTTTCTTGATGTTTCATGCTTATAGAAGTATAGTTATACTGTAAGGGAAAGCTTCAGGTGATGGTTGTTTCTAGTAGCAATAGCATCAGTTAAGACAAACTTCATACAGCTTGTTCAGGTTTCCATGTGACCTTAAAAACTTGTTCCACAGCCATCATAAAAATAGTAGTGTATTACTTCAGCTCTGTATACTATCATTATGCTATATTTTTCTCTTAATGATTTATTCGTGTCTAAAACGTTTCTGAATCACCTGATTGTATTCTGCTAAAAACTACCAAAGATGTGATTTCCTCTCAAGGAAGTGACTGTAATGACACAAAATTTTGCCTCATTGCAGTGGTGATAAAGGAGGATGTGTGCCTTGAAATAGAGAACTGAGTTCTGAGCTTTATTGCCCATGTTCATTTTTAGTCTTGTTCATTAGAAATGAGAGCACCTCTCCACTAGCAGGTATTCAGCTGTGGATGGACAAGGCCTCCACAGGTGAAGATAGTGATAATCATTACACTTGCGTATGTATTCACAGGACAAATCAGATAGAGAGGCCTAAACTGGGGAATAAGGCCATATCACTCTTCAGGAGAAACAGGTTTTGGGGTATTGTCAGGTTTGGTAATCTTTCTAGTCTACCTGGGACATGCCAGTGCTGTGGAAAGGTACTCCAGGAACTTATTTGACTCTGTGTTCCCACTGTCACTGTAGGGAAGATGAATGGAATTTTTTTTTACAGAGAAAGCCCACAAGATCAAGCCTAAACTCATTCCATTCGTAGGAAAATTGTTCCTCTCTGTAGAACCTCATTTTGCCCACGCCAGACCCCACTGAGCTTAGAAGAATGATGAAGACATGAGGCTTGAATTTATACAGATAGAGCAAGTATTTGTTTTCACACACAACTTAGCAATTAGCAACAGAAGATAAATAAAGGATGAAAATATTCTTATTACATGCTAGTTAAATAGGCATTTGAGAATAGAAGTGCAGCCGCTCTGCTGACTGATACAGTGATGGCAGGATTGTCCCATGCTTTAGGATAATTGCTTTAATTGAAACAGGTATGCCACTGTGCTGCAGCAATTTAGCTACTTTGTGATCTCACTCCGAAGTTTACAAACAGGCTTTTATAATTTTCATTTCCATTAGTGGACATCTCTGAGAAGCAACATGACTTACTTGAAAACATTTTCCATTATCTACAAGTAGTTCTAAAGTGCTTTCTGCTGTCCTTCCCGTGATGAATCCATTTTGGCTTGGTTCAGGGGATTTGCCTTGCAGAATTCCAGCAACCAAGAGCCAGAGATGCATTTTGAGATACATTTACTGGATGTGTGTCAGGGGCGCTGACTGGGAAAATCGGTGCCTTCTGGATGGGTGAGGGGCAATTCATTATGCTAAGGCCACTGATTAGTGCTGAATTAAATGTTCTCATTCTGTTTCCAAATGTTGAATTGCAGGGGTGGTTTGAAGTGCTAGTGAAAATTTTTCCATAGTTCCTTATTATGTCATTTTAAGTGATCAAGGCAAGCAATATGAAAAGATGAATGGCTGAATCTTTGTGAAAAGATTGCAAAGGGGCCAAGACGCTAAAGGTCTTTTGTTTCTGGAGTCTTTCTTGAACTAGAACGTATGCTTGCCATTCTGATCCTACATACAGCCCAAATGGAAATTAATCTTCCAGAGAATAGAAGAAAGCTTTTGCAAATCTCTGAGCAAAGATGGGAGGCTGGGTCTCTTACTCTTCCTTACGTTTCTCATGCTCCATTTTTTGTGATTGTGTCATGACTCTTGACTACACTCATGCTTTTGTTCTACAGGGTGAAAGGAATGTGGGGGAAAGGGAGAGCAGAGGAGATGCCTCAGAGGGAAAACAGACCTTTTTCAAACCCTAGCAGCTTTAAAAACCATAGACTTAAGACTCTAGATGAAGAAGCCATGTTTCCATGGAATGAGAACCCATGGCAGAATATTATGCGTTCACCTTGGGTGACATTTCACTTGAACAGTGAAACTAGAATCTTATGATACATAAAAGTCTATTCAGATGAGTGTGATTGACTCGTCTTGAATTTCCCTACCCTGGCTCTCCTTGCCAAGAAAAAATTACTAGTTCTTTTTGTGTAAGTTTTTAGGATGGGAAGATACTCATGGTAATCCTGGAGGGTGTAGTCTGCTATTCACAAAAGGATTGAAGGTGCAATGCATGTCATTCTATATTGCATATGTTGCCCCAATTTTGCATCAATATACTACAAGAAAGTGAGCAAGAACTTCCATTCTGTGCTCTTCCACTTCTCCTTTGAGATAGTCAGCAACTGTACTTATTTTTTAAAAAATTGTGCTGATGGAGAGTAGCTCATTATATACTGACAGAGTTAATACACTTCTTTCTCAAATATCTTTCCTTTTAAGTCTGCCATTTAAAAAAAAATATATATATAACTTGCCCTTCCCCAAGTGAAGATATCTGTGATAGGAAGAAATAAAATGAATGCATTTTCTTCTTTCTCCTAGTAGTTGATACTCTTCTTTCTCAAGATAGTGTTTGAGAACAATTTGAAAGGGATTTTTCTTCACTTGTATCAAAATCTAATGCAATTGAAGCAAGGATTGTAAACAAATTTGGATAATTTTTTCACTAGAGTTGCCTGTGACAAGCTTGTTGTGTGGTTATAGGAATTCCTGGGCAGCTGAGTGAACAACAGGGACTGACTTTGTTGTGTGCTCCAGTGACTTAACTGGAGAAGGTTGTGGATGACAATGAAAAATATAGTGATCCATCTTTCAGTTAAAACTTGGGTAAACATTGGTGTTCAAGTGTCACTTTTTTTTTACCAAAGCATCCTAAGTCACTGGGACTGTAGGGCCAATTTTTAAACACTAAACTAATTGAAATCAGCCTTATTTAAGTCAAACAAAGTATGTTAATGCTGATTTGCTGGAAACAACTGTAGTAAACTGGAAACAACTGCAGATATCTAGAAGTAAAGCACATCATCTACAAACATTAAGCCTTTAAAAGGTGGGGAGTAAATTGGCATCTGTGCAGAGGACTTGCTTTTCTGAATTTAGCAGTGTTGTTATCAAAGATGAGTGTTACCAAGTACTTCTTACTCACTTTGAAACACACAGAAACTATGTTTTACAAGATTGCACGATCCATAAACTGAGGTACTTGTTTGAGAGTAGCCACCACCTCCAATCTTTGATTTGATTCCTTTGCCTTCCTGATGTGCTTAGTGGACTACAGAGTTATTGAGATTTCCTTTCACTTTCTAATATACATGCCTTTTTTTTAATTTTATTTTTTAACTCCACACTATATATTTTAATTGTTGACATAAAAAAGATGTTATTTTTCCTTATGTATGCAAGTTCTTGATTCCTGTTTGGTCACACTAGTTTGCAAAGGTGTTCTCGTCTTGTTTGGTTCTCAAAAGATTCAGCGAGTCTTTTCAAAGAAGGCTTCAGATGGCATGTTTCATGCAATGTACTTTTTTGGGAAACCTCACACCAGTAACTAGAGAATAGTTTTGCTTGTCAGAAGAACCCTTTCAAGTTATGGATGACTGCATAAATTCTCTTACTGTTTCTCACTGCTGAACTAATAATACATTTTATATCTACCTTTGAGTCAGTTTCCAAGTAGGAATTGTTGAAGCATGGCTTAATTTTGTCAGGATATGATAGTTTCTATTACATTAACTTTCAAGAGAACAAAATTCATCTCAGCTTACATTACATTCCAACTGCAGCAACTTCAGAGAAATGCTCAGCTAGATATTAAAATAATGAAGGGGAAGATAATCTAGTTGAAAAAGTTGAACATTCTTACTGCAATATTGGGTAGTGTTGCATTAAAACTAGACTTCAGCTTTTGTTGTTTCAGGTTAAAATGATACTGTTTTCAAGGTAGAGTTTTGGGTAGGCTTTAATTTTCAAGTAAGCTGCATTCAAGCATCTACATTTTAGCAGCATTTCTGAAGGCAAAAACATTGTGCAACGGGCAAAAGCTAAAGTCACATGGAGTAGCTTTTAGATAGGGGACTTCCTAACTATTCCCAGGGTAAACTTTGACTCTATATTTAAAGTTAGTCAAGCATTTAAAAATAATATTTCACCTTTTAATACAGTTTTGGGGAGGTAAGATGTAAGATGTCTTGTGTTCCTGCTTAATATCAAAGTTATCTCTCAATCTAGAAGGCAGATCAATAGCAGAAATAAAATACATGTATATAATTCAAAACAAACCCACATTTGGTTTCCCACGGGTAACTTGATAACAGTAGCTTCTTTCTTCAAACCAATAAACATTGCACGAAACTGCAGCATGAAATACCTTGGTAGCATGAGACTCTCCTCAATAGTATGGCTTCCATCTATATATAAATAGGAAAGTCAAATTAAATATGGCAGCCATATTAAATCAAAGTTTTATGAGATGTATGCCTTTCTTCCATCAAGTGTGGTGTTAGATATATTTCACTCCCTTTTCTTACACAAATACAGCTTTTTCTCACATATGAAAATCAATATAGTTAAAAAGAAATGCAGTCAAGCCTTCAATAAACATCTTAAAACCCTTTGCTCATTCATTCTTAGCTAAGATCAAAGTTGCAGACTTTGGTGCAGATATACCATATGGAAATAGAATTACTTCATCTTCTTTTATCATTTCAATGCAACTTCCTCGCTTTTAGCTTTATAATGTCTTGAGTGCTCAAGCCTTGTACTGTCCATTTGCACAGGGGTGAATTTTATACCTTATGTATATTTTTATTATGAATGTTAGATAATGCCAGCTCTTTTAAGAGTATTTCTATGGAAGGACTTACTCCTCTGTGCCCAACACACAGTGAGCTCTTCTACTGTGCCTAAATAATTGGGTCCAGCAGCTCTTTCCTGCTCTGGGATATGGGAATGCCTTTTGGGTGCTTCCAGTCTGCACAGCGATGAGGTGCAGTTGTGCACCATTCCTTACCAGTGCTCTCCTTCTACATGGAGAGGAAACTTAGACTCTTGCCCAAGTGGGTACTGTGGAAGACACCAGCAGATCCCTCTTCTGCACAGTCAGGACCCTAGGATTCTGTGAAGCTATAAAAAATGGTTTTATCATTCAATTTAAACATGCTTTTTTATCCCTGCCTTCAACTGTGCTTAGCTATGTCCTTACCCACATCCATCATAATAGAAGCAAATGCAGCTGAGCATGAATTTAAAATGAGAGCTTTTAACTTAAAGACTGAAGGTGAACTTTCTGTGCATATCCAAGGTAATCTCAAGTGAGATTATTTCATTCTTCCCATACACTGTATCAAAGAACTCCTACCCTGTATACAATTTTGGGTTCCTCAAAAAGTATTTTGAAATGTCAGGAGAGTTCACAAAAATGCAGAAAGAAAGGTAGGAGTTCTACAAAGCCTCTCTCGTAGTGGGAAGAGTAATAATCCCAGTTTACAAACTGTAACGAAGGCAAGGCTAAGAGTCGCTTCAGGAGAGTCTGAAGACCTTAGGGGACAGAAGTCTGGGAGCAGATCCTTCTTTAAACTTGCAGAAATAGATAAAATTATATTCTGTGGCTGGAAGTTGAAACTAACCAAGTTCAAACAAAATGTAAAGAATGAATTCTTAAATCTTTTTCGTGGATTAAGCATCCTCTTTAAATCCATATTTTTAAAGGACCACCACAGTGCTTTTAGTAAATAGAGACTGAAAATAGGTGCTTGATGATTCCATTACCTGTGGTATGAAACGGTGTGGTCAGACTGAAAGAGCTTCTGACCTTACAGCTCTGTTCATGTATTTGATTATTTTGAAACTGTGCAGCAAGCTTCATAGCTTTTGTTTCTACTTTTTTTCTATGTGAGAGTTATGGAAAATGAAATGAGGTTCTGAAAACAAATAACATTGAAGTAATTGCAGCAAGTAGCTCTCTTATCCTGGTGTCATAAAACTCTTAACTTTGCTCTGAGTTAAATGAGAAGTACACTGCTATTTATTTTTGCAATTAAATTTCAGCATTTCAGCAGAAACAGACATTTTTCAGAATGCATTTACCATGGAAAATGTTGCAGTCACCTTTCCGAATACATTTTGACAAATATTACCCTGCTCTGATGTATTGGTCAGGGTCTGTCATCTTGAAATATCATCACCCACTACCATATTGTGCATGGCCCTGTATGATTTCCTATGACAGAAAACTTTTTGCAAGGATGGGTATTCACAAATGTTTAAAAGGTGGCAGCTATCCTCCAAGCAGTTTATAAACATACAGTGAACTCAGGAGACTAAGCTATAGTGTCCCTGTTCTACAAGTTTCAGTTAGCCTTCAGCTGTGTAAACTTTGCTTGAAGTATCTCCTGAGTAAAGAATGAACGAACAAAATTTAGAAATAATTTCTGCAAAAAAGAAGGGAAGTCCAATAATTAATCCTAGACTGGAGATCTAGGTTCAGTTTCTTTTTTTGGTACGAGGACTTATGTGGTATCCTTGACAAATTTTTTATTCTCCTTAGCTACATCTGTACTGTGCTTCCAACAGTGCATCCCACTATCCAGATCTACTGTGCACCCAAGAAACATTCTATCTCTCTGTATGCCCACCATTTCCATATTTCTTGATAGTCACAAAGAAGCAGCTTAGATATTGATGTGCAAAGAAGCTCTGGTTCACTGCAGACAAGTGCCAGCCAGGTTGCGCGACCCATCAGGAGCCTGGGAGGCACACTGAAGTTCAGTGGAGGTAAAGTGCCGCAGCTGTATCTATTCCCGAGTCTCTTATTGTTGCTCCACAGGGCTGTGATTGTGAACTACTTAAGGGGTATTAAGCTACCCTGGTATTTTAATGTGTACTGTATTGGTCAGCAAATCACAGGTGTTTTTATGGTTTCACAGAATCATAAAATGATTAAGGTTGAAATGGACGCCTGGAGGCCATCTTGTACAACTGCTCTGCTCAAACAGGGCCACCTAAAGCCAGTACCAAGTCCAGGCACCTTTTGAGTAGCTACAGGGAGTGAGCCCACAACCTCTCTGGGCAGCCTGTGCCAGTGCTTACAGCAAAAAAAGCCTTTCCCGAAGCTCCGAGGGAGCCTCCTGTGTTTCAGCTTGTGCTTGTTGCCTCCGTTTCATACTGTCACCCTAGTAACACTGTGGAAGAGTATTAATCTTCGTGCTAACATCATGTTTTACATTTTAAACAGAAAGCAGAACTAACAATACGTAGTTCTAGATTTGTTTTTGTCAGGTTCTTAAGTAATTTTGTTAGAATAAGGATAGTAAAGAAGGTTCACTAATGACTATCCTAATACCGTGCTGCCAAAATATTCTAAACATACCTTGTTTCTAATGAAGTCAGATCACGTCCAGTGTTCAAATATATATTCTTTACTTCTACCATTAAAAGCTAACTTGCATTTTTAGTAGTATCACCTATTTGTCAAGAGTCTAGGAGTGAGCAGAATGCATGAATATGCTCTGCTTTCTACACAGCAATTTCAGTACTTATTTTGAAATACTAGTTGAAGCTATTCTAAACATAAAATGTTTTGAGCTATTTTACCAGCATTTCTATGGATGATTTTTCTGCCTTGGTCTAGAAATGAGCAGGTGGTTGTCATTTCAAGGTGATGACCTGTCCTGTTTCTTTAGCACCTCAAGTTTTTAAGAGGGGGAAAAATAACAATCTGTCTTCTGCTATTTATAATGGATTCAAAATGCATTTGATTTTTCTTTTAAATGTTTTCTTCTCTCTAGAAAATACGAAGGATATTCTCGTGATATATGAAAAAGAAGCAGAAGAGTGGGCTCTGTATTTAAAGTCTCTTTTTGGACATGTAGTGAACGAAGGAGGAATCTTACTCTACAATCTAAAGACTTCAACTTTCAAGCACCAGGAGCTATTTTCTTTGCCCTGTTATAAATGTAAAGTCCTGATACTATCATGTGGACTTCTTAACTGCCTGAATCGAAAGAGAAGTTATTTTCTGGAGCAAGTTCTAAAACCTCTGGATAATGTGGTCATTCTGCTTTGTGGGGTGGAGAATTCAGAGATCCTTTCTGAGATACTGACCTTAGATGGAAGCAGCAAAGAGATTTCGACTGATCAGGAGCCTGAGGAATATCTCTCTGTTGTTACTGGAATTATTCAAACAGGTAATCTAAAAATTGTAATGGTTATTAAAACAGTGTTCTTAGCTGTATTAATATCATTTGGAAGAGAAAAAAAAAGTGATAATACAGATTTTCTGTAGAAATTGCCTATCTTCATCTTGGCCCAACAGTTTTAGTTTGATGATGCATTTGTCATTGAAGTGTGATGCAAATGTTGTACTCTTAGTTCGGCTTCATTTTCTCAGGGAAGCAGCCTTGGAAAGTCTTAAAGCTGCCACTGGCACACATGAACCTACCATCACTACTTCATGGTAAGTCTGAAGAGCTGACATACACCTCTGTGTTTTCTCAGTTTACTAATCTCAGAAACTGTAGAAAACTATGGGTTTATGTTTAAACTCTTTCAAAATGCCTTAATGTGACAGTGTACATATCTTTTTAGGTAAATCTGACACAGTGAAAAATAATTACTGAGTAAGACCCAGTTTCATGGATGGCAGTGTTTTAAGTGTGACACACAAAAGCTCTGAGTGGAAGTTCCTCTCCCCTTTTACCAACCCAAGTAATAAAACTCTACTGGAAAGATTAAAACTACGCAGCTTGTATGTGTTTGCACATCAATGGAAATGAAAAAGAAGCATTAATGTGAAAATTAGCACTTTTAGAATATAAGAAGAACCTCTCTCCTAAGCGTGAGAGGCAAAGTCTGTGCACATGATTTAGTTTAACCCAAAGTTTAACTTTGCCCAGCTGCACAAACGAAATGAAGGAATAGCTTTAGGAAGACAGATGCATGGGCCGCTTCCGAAAAGCGATGTAAGTTGTGAACAGGTTTCAGGTAGAAGGCTGTGTGTTTTCCTTTGAGAGTGTATTTACTACTGCTTCTTTGTAGTCTCTAGGTCTCCTACCTCCTCCCAGCTCTTGCTATTTTGTCATGATTTTGTCTGCTAAGCAGAACATTGTGCTCCTGTTTTTGTTACCTGCAAGGTATGATTTTACTGGTACTGGAGCTTGAAAGACATCCTTCAGTTCAGGAGTTTTACTCAGAAATTAACCTGGTTTTGGATGCAGATGAACAACCAAGAATATTCTTTTGAACACAGGGATAGAGAGACCCCAGCTGAGTCAGAGTGACCTAGCTGGATGTGCCTGCTGCCCTGTACTTGAGCAGATAAGTTTATGCAAACTATAAGGCTTTCAAACCCGCCCAGAATGTGTCTACACACAGTTTGGCTATATCAGATCAGTGCTTTCAAAACTCAGTTTTAGACTACTCTTTCCCAACCATCTCCTGTTCTAACATTTCTTGCTGTTCAGTATTTATTAACATTTTCCTCAGTATATCTTTTTTTGAGCATCTCTCAGACTTCAAGTTTTGAGGCTAAGTACAGTTGCCTGGTTTCGTTTCAGAAGGTAATGTTTGCAATTTCTGACTGTATCTGATACGTAGCTTCAGATTGAAGTTCCTTGGCAGCATTTTAGTAGAATGGAAACAGTGAGTCTATACTATGTGTCTGTGTGTATAGGAAGGAATTGGGTCCAGATACAGTTAGTTGACTCATGCACAGGAAATTGCAAATTTTCTGCAAAGATAAACAGTTTCCTAGAAGACAGATCATGGTTCTTTGCTTAGGTCAGTGCATTCACAAAAAATATTTATTGCATCTGGCCTTGGGATTTTACTTACATTGTAATCTCAAGTGACTAACAGGTGCTCAAATGATCTTTTCTTCACTAGTGGTGAATATCATCATCTTCAGAGACAAGTACAAAGCTGAATTAATGAACAGTTGTTGAAGGCCTCAGTCTCAGTGTGTACATCTTTACCAGGGATGCACTGACTGCGTCTGGGATCAGAGAAGTTCAGTTGACTGAACTAGATTCAGGTCTGGGAGTAGTGTTGCTGCCTGATGCTTCAGAGTGTAAATCCTCCTCCATGCACATGGCTGAGAGCTGCTCTGGCCCTGTTTCTTCTGTACTGGTGTGCCCTGGTCATCAGGCAGGCCAGCTCACATCAGTGCTTGCTGGGAGACCTCCACACTGCTCTCTGTTGCACAGTGAGAAAATTTTGAGTGCAAGATTTGCTGTCACCTAGGTGTGGATTTAAGCTCTGAGGAATGAAGATGTGCATGTCTTATCGTTATTTACCTTTGCTTAAAGATAATAGTGACTGCTTGCAGTGCCTGTATTTATGATGCTCTTTTGTAGAATCCTATTAAGCTCTTGATCTTTGTGATATCTGTGCAAGGATTTTGACAGATTACACACCTGGGATAAAGATTTTCCTCTGGTATTTAAAATGGCTTGCAAAGGGGTTATTAAGTATACTTGGATTATTTTTCCTTTGGAACAATTCTTTTTATGCCTTTCTTCAGGACTATGAACTCACAAGTTTTCCCATCTCTTTACATATGGATCATCATCTTCTGTTGCTTTTAATTGTTTTCAGTGCCTATCTGTTGTGCCTTATATGTCTGCTTTTGGAGATAGGGGTGAAAACATTTTTTGTGTATGTTCTCCATGCTATTCTGGTCTTTTTTTTCCCCTAAACTGTTCATTGCTGTTAACTTGTTCCTCCATGCATTTTGTACCTTCTTGTCTCCTCAGTATTAACAAGAGCTGTCATTATACCGAAAACTAAAACTTCAGTGATGTGCTTTAATTACAGTGATTACATGGCACCATGCTGTCATGCACCACTGCAGCTAAATTTTATTAATCCCTTAGGACAGCAGGCCATTGAGATCCTAGGTCTAATTGATGCCAGGGCTCAGGAGTGGCTTGTGGGTAGTTAGAGCAACTGAAGACGGATGTTAAATCTGGCTGTGACCTCGCAGTCCTGAAGAACATTGATAAGGCTATAGCTTAGGTGCAAGTAATCACCACCCTTCCACTACAGCTTTCTCCATACTCTGCCGAGTTTCTAGGTGAGGTAAGTTCTCAGCTGTCTCTTCTCCCCTAGATGCTATTCTTGTTGCACAGTCTCTACCATCTGAAATGGAAAGAGTGCAAAATAAATGTAATTTTATATGTCCCCCCAGTTATTTTGCCAAAGCCTTTTGCTTACCAGATGGTACCAGATTCATCTTGTTGAAGCCAGGAGGGGCCTTTATCTGTTAAAACTTACTTCTACCTCTAAAGTAGTATATATGCCAAAAATTGTAGGCAAAACCCAATACTAATTAAAATGCTCACTAAAACTAAATAAAATGAAAGTTGCAGGTTTTTTTTACCCAGAAGAGAGCTTGTTCATCCTTTAGTGTGGTTCAAACACAAAATCAGAAGAGTTTGTCATTCCTGTTTGAACATGTTCTTGGAGGAATAAGGGGAGAACTGGGACCTGGTAACTGGCCTTTCTAACATATGTTTACTGGATGGTGACAGATTTTATTATATTCACGTTACTGATGAAGAATAACACAAATATTTTTGTTGTTGTCAAAAGATTCCTTTAGCAGGACTTGTTCACAAAATACTTCACTGTTTGAAACTGCTACATTCAGATTTAGAGCTGGGTTTGAATTTTGTGTAAGGGCATGTTGTCATAAAAAAAGATAAATCTCTAGGAAAGAGTAGAACACCCAGAAACTTTATTACTCTATGTTAACATCTAAGATGGCTCAGTAAGACTCCAGAATTCTGACTTTGCTTTAACATTTTTACCTAATATTATTGAAAGTAGAATCAGGAGACACATTTTGCTTTCATCTATCTTTTCCTTTTTCCCTTTTCCTTTCCCTTTTTCTTTCTACAGCTTCTCCTTGGTCTGCTTAACTGTCTACCCCATTTTATATTAAATTGACATACTTTCAATGTATTAATTCAGTGCTCTGGTGGTTTTTAGCCTAGACATAGCTGGGGTTTTTGTTTAGACCTGAAACAGTCCCACTTCAAATTCAGGCTAGCCATATGTTTAATTTATATAGCCATATGTTTGATTTGTAGATATAGAGAGATATTTGCAGCTGGAGGTTGTTACTTAGCTCTTTAAATGTCCAGAATTCCTCCTGTAGTTGTTTCTGCCTCAGTATTGATGTTGCAGAAAGAGAACAGGTCTTATCTAATACAAATATTTTTCTGTGACACAATTTCTAAGTGTTCTGACACTTTTATGAGACTTTTTGGTAGGACTTCTCAGTACAGCTCAGAAGTCGTAAGTATCTAGTAGTCTGCTTGCTGGTTTATTAGGTTTCATTGTTTACAGCTCAACCAAACAACTCTTGTCACTTCCAGTTCCAGCCTTTTCTCTAAGCAGTGTTATCCTCTTTTTTTGTGCCAAAATATGGAGGGAATCTACTTTATAGAATTTGATAGTTGAGAACTACTCAGCAAACCTACATGTATCCATTCATTACCTGCTATTGTACCGAAAAGTGAGAAGAGGTACATAAAGTAACATAACCAGCTAGAAAACTGTATCCACAGTCTTTAACAGCCCAGGAAAGATTCTCAGAATGAATATATAACTTTTACTTGAGACAGCAATATGCCCCTAATTTCTGATTGTTACCTAAAAAGTAGTCAGTGTACCTGCATACAATTCTAATCACCAATAAGAGTAATGCTAAGAAAACTACTTTTGCAACTTCTAGTAACACATAGATCTGGAATAATGACATACTAGTATTGGGTATTTATCTCTAATAAGTAAATGTAGGACAAACAGGCTGGGAGCTTAAAATAGGGCTTAACATATGAAAATCTTCATCCTGCTTCAAATATGGGGTTAATTTCCATTTTACAGGTCATGGAAAAGAGAACTAAATAACTATATTTTTACCATAAGCATTTATGGTATTTGTCTCCTCTTTCATTTCTGGTACAGCAGCATAGATTTTATTAGAATTGTACCAGGAATTTGGGTATAATGTTGGATAGTGAAGTAATACTTCACATTTTGAATCCACTGATTTGCCTGTTCTCCTGTGAAATCCTCTTCACATTGATACTGAAATATAAGTAACCAATGACAATGAATTTTCTTAGGCTGTCAGCAAGACTTGTGCTGATGAGCTAAAACCTGTAATTTAAGTGGGAACTTTACCATTGTCTTCAGTGGGCAAGTGTTTCATCTAGATTTTGACACTGACTTGGAGTTTATGAAGAAATGAAGCTAAAGTGCCGACAAGAACCAAAGCTGAAGAGGAAACAAAGTCACTACAATTTTTGGGTTGGTTTGTTTGTGAATACCGAATACAGCGTGGTTTTTGTGCATGTGTGAACTAAAGTCCTAGTTGTAAGGATTTCTCACATGGATGCACAAGACTGAGTAAATGGAGGGAAGTTGGTAGGTGGTTCTGGCCTCATTCACTGCCAGGGAGGGGAGGTTGCAGTAGGTGAGACCACACGGTTGTGTCTCCCTTTCCTCCTTCCCCAACGTATGCACGTTCAGACAGTGCATACCACTGTTGGCGCTTTAAGGCAGTGAGGTCATCTGGTGATTGAGGAGCGCCTCAAATGCCGCTTAAATTTTTTTTATTAGAACAAAAATAATCTGTATGAACTTATCACAAGCAGAAGACCACAAGGGGCATTTTGTTAGCTGAAAGTGTACAACGGTATAGTGCTCATTTCCATTTTGCCCTGCCAACGAGTCTTTGAACTGCTCTTCAGAGACTGCTGCTAAAATTACCAGATTACTAAATCTTCCTGAGATGTTTTGTTTCTCCATCTCCACACAGAATGCTTGCTGGGATGCTAGTGCAGTGATGGGGATTCATAACATGGATGACTATGAACAAAAAACTGTGGTTAGTGTCACTAACTTGTTTCATCTGGCACATGATCCTGGCTATTTCAAACCAGAAGAGAAACTGAACTGGCAGCCTGGAGGTGTCAACCATAGATAGGGTGATGAGACTGCCATCCCCTGCTAATTAAACTGTTTGAGTTCTTTGTTCTCCCTTATTTCTGCAAAATCCATAGAAGACTCTATTCATTACGTAATCAGGTTTCCCAGCAGCTCATGTTTTGATCTGGCTAGCCAGTCATGGTGACCTGTACCCTTGGATTCTGAAGTATGCATCATGTATGTGATGTTTTTGCCTCTTATTTTTGACACTAATTGGATGAAAACTGCTTACAACTGGAAAAGTGAATGCACTGACATCTTAAAGTGAATGTTTTTTAACAGCATTTAGGACAAACTCATAAAAAGTTTTATTAATAATAAAAGTCAAATGACTAGAACATAAGCATTACTGCAACAGCATGTACTAATTTAAATTACTGTACTGTGATTTTACTGTTGTTTATTTAGGTTATAAATTTTTTATTTTTAACATGAATTAATGGATTTGTCATCATTAGACTGCTCTTTCAAGGTTGCAAGCAGACACCATCCAAATTTATGTCTTGTTTATGGCACAACAGTCATCAGACAGTATTTAGTTGCAGTTGTGGGGCTACTTCTAAAGCTTACAAGTAATTGAAGATTTTCAGTAGGTATTTTGCAGCTAGAGCTGTAAAATGGCTGTGTGAATCTCGTCTTACATTTCCTTCGTATAATGTATTACTGACTCTCGTCAGGTTTTGCACTGTGGTTACCTATCACAATTACTGAAAAGTTATTGTTGGAAGTTGTCTAGAGAAGTCCTCTGGAAATGCATTCTTTGTATATTTTTGGCACACAAGTGTTGTTAGAACAAAATTGCTATTTGTAATTTCACCATGATGTATTTATGTTAAGTTAGTGTCAGCTTCTTGGAAATAAGATAAAATAAGGGTTGTGTTGTTTTCTAGATTAAAAAAATTGTAACGCCTATCCCTGAAAAAAAGGAAGTGTAGCACATATTTAAGTTCATACTGAAAAAAAAAACCAAAACAAATGAATAGCAAAAGAACAACTTTTTTTGTATAAAATCAGATTTTGCTCTTCGTAGGGTCTCTATGTACTTAAATGGCTATGAGGACAGAACTTGGTCCAGAAAATGTTATTACAGTTACAAAGTTAGGTGTTCAAGAGTCAGAAAGTTACAGGTACAAAGGAGCCTATTAAACTTTAATTACAGCCCTTGTTCATAACTTTGTCTTTAATTATGTAAGTGCATTCTTGCTACCCCCATCCCCACCAAGAACATGCCCTCATTAGTACACAGGATAAATAGTGCTCAGTTAATTAGCAGTTATTTGATTTGTTTTGTGTGTGAGTTTGTGGTTGCATTATTTATGTATTGAATGCCATTCAAAATTCTTTTGAAAACCCAGAATTATTAATTTCCCTAATGTGCTTTCCTGTAGATCTTTCTGTATTGAGTGCATCCTAACATTATTTTATCATTATTGTACATACTAGTATTTAGAAAGATTAGGGTGAAGCATTTCTTCCACTTCTGATACCACTTTAAGACATGACTTTTCGTAATGCTCACCAGTATTTTTAACATCCATATTCAAACTCCCTTTATTTTCAGATGCATTTGCGACTGCTCAGATGTCTGCAGGTCAGCTGTAAGATCTTTCATAGAACGTGCAGCACAAAACTAATGAGCGCTTCTGAAAAGCATGTTTTAAAAGCCACCTAGCTTTTTGCGTCAAAACTTCAGGATAGGAACCTAAAATTACTTAAATTCTCCAGAGCAGCAGTCAGCCAATATCACTGTCCTTTTTATCCCTGGATCCTCTCTTCATTCACTGAGTGCTTGTTATTACAAGAATAACTGAATCAGAATATGGTAAACAACACCTTCTTTAAGTACAAAACCAGAAGTCAATGCTAGAGTAGGTCTAACTTGTCCACTGTCTGCAGTACAGATCAATTTAAAAGAAATAGTGAATAACATACTACAAAGGAGAACAACTGCTTTTGAGTGTTTGGTTTTATGCAACCTTAATAAAGTCATTGTAAAGCAATCACTTTCTCATCCTAGGCTCCTCTTCTCATCCTAGCCTTGGCATCTTTACCCAGTGACTTACTTTTCAGTCTTGGTCCCTTCTTGTAGTATAGGTTATTCAGTTCTGGAGTACCCAGCAATATACATGGGATCCTTATCAGGATCCTACAGATGCTGTACAACAGAATATTTGCTGAGTTAGCTGTATCTCACAGTATGGAGCTCAAGCAGGCCTGATATCTCTTATGTCAACTTTACCTCAGAAGTGGAAAAACAGATGATAACTCAATCCAACCTAAAGAAAGAGTGGCATAGACAGATATTGCATAATATGGCAGAAAGTCAGCTGGTAATTATTAAGCCATCAAAATAACTTCAACAAACCAGAACTGACAGTTTTTAAATATTTGACCAGTACTTTACATAATGTGTCCATTGCTTTTTTGACCCAATACTGTGAACTCTGTAGCCAGATTTATTGTATTATCAAACACAGCCCTGCACCGTTGTCTTGTCTTCCAGACCCCGGTGCCTGCATCCATTTTCCACTTCTCACTTCTGTGCACGTGATTATGTTCTCTTAACTTTTGCCTAACTCCTTTCCCACTGTTTGATTTACTTTCAGGGAAACTTTTCTCCCTCAAGCCTGTGTTTCTTACCTGCTATAGTAGTTTGAAAAAGAGGTCAGTCACAGGGATGGTCATGGAAAAGGGATAAATACAATTCCATCTAAATATCAGTCTAGGCTTGTTCTTCTCCACTAGTCCTTGGATTGTTTTTCTTTTCTATCTGCAAAACTGTAGCTTTAAAATATCTCTATCTTACATCTAAAATAACATACAGAATTTCATGAAAAAAATAAATTGGAAATTGGTGTCATGGTATTGCTCATGCTTTTGATTTCTTAACTCTTTTATTTTGCCAATTTTTTCTTTTTTTTTTTTTTTTTTCCAAGCTTGATTTCTGATGCTGAGATCTTCCTTAGAGCAAACTAAACATTCTGTTAAACAATCAAGTAGGATAGTAATGATCACTGTCATCAGAGTTGATGACCAGTTACAGATATTTGCAAGTTGATAGCGTTAAAGAATTACTATTTTTTCCTAGGTCAGCCACAGAATGAAAATACTGGAGACTCTTTGTCTAGCATCTGTGAAGCAGTTCTTGAAGACGGTGAGTTGAATTCCCTTTGCGTTTACTCGAATAAAGCCAGTACTCTTCAGAAAATTAAATATGTTTTCTTACATCTTGTCAGACATGAAAGGCAATAAACTAACCTTACCATAACATACAGTTGTGTAGAGGAACATGCCTTGTTCTCAAACATCTACCCACCCATCTGTACCCACACATTCTTGTGAAGAGTGTGAAAAGGGGAGGAGATTCAACAGGGACGCTTCCTTTTTTCCTTTAATTTCAGAGTAGAGAAAAAGGAAGACATGGAGAGCTTTCCTTTTCTGTTCCCAGAATGAGGAGTTTTGCTTGTAGTAAAGAAAGATCTGATTTTAAATTTCAGATAGATCAGCCCTACTCGCATTACATTTGCAGCATCATTCATTGGCAGCCAGTGGCTGGGAGAAGCCCTGTGTCATGACTTCAGCACCTGTTGACATTTGCCATTCTGGTTTATTTATATTTGTGAAAACCCATAAAGGGTCTTAGTAGGCAAAACAAACTGGCAAAACCTCCACCTGCTTTTAGTAAAGAGCTATATAACATGTTTCCTATCCCCAGTTCTTACTTAAATACTTTTATTTCTGAGTTGACACTGTTGTGAAATGATTGGCTTAACAGCACCAGCATGCTGACTAATGGGAAAGGATGAGTAAGTTATTTTGGAATTCCTGGCATAAATGTTCTGTGCTGCTGGACTCTGAGGTTACTGGCTCTGAGGGTCTGTTTTGCTGGCAAGGTGTAAGGGCAGAAAGATGCTGCAAGCTCACTGGCTCATCCCCACTGGCATGAATTCAATATACATGTCAGTGAGGTATGTGCTTTTAAATACTCCAGTCATTCCCACTTACTATGGTTTGCTTCACAGTGCAGAACAATCTTGGAGCATGTGGATTGGATTCCTTTCAGATAAAACTAAAAGGGAAAGTGCACCCAAGGAACTCCCTGGGTGCACATCAGACACTAAAAGGTGTGCATTCTACTGGTCCACACCAGAACTAGTTGGAAATACACCCCTTTGAAATGTGTATAGTGTGGAAGGGAGTATTTAGCACCAACTGTTTGTCTCTACTAAATCTTCTCCTACTCGTGCCCCCTCCTTTCTGACAGGGACTGTTTGTGACTCTCTTGGCATCTTGGGTGTGCTAGTGTGATCTCAAGCAGAAATCTGCTATAAAGCTTCACTGCTTTATCCCTACAGACCTACTGTCAAGTTTTCTAAGGATATCTCTTTTGGTCCTGTGTTGAATGTGCTATGGATCAGTGCATTGTAGGAGTTCGTTGGTAGAAAGAAGGCTTTTTGTCATTACTGACTCATCATCCAGGTGCTCTATAAGCTGGCATCAATGTTCCTCTCATTCGTGATCATGATGTCCAAAAAATGAGACAGTGAAAGAAGGAACGGTCAGAGAAAACAGAGAATCACAAGAAAAGAAAGGACTAGGGAGATGTTTCTCCAAGCTGCTACTGCTTCAAACCCTGACTCTTTTTATATGAATCCTTTTCTGCTTTTATATGGGGGCTTGAAGAGCAGCTCCAAGTCCAAGTTTCCCATTAGCTGAATGGTTGATGTTGTAATCAAGTGAACAGAGGATTTTCCAGCTAAGGAAGTCTTGCATTAAAAGCAAAAATTTCGTTTGAAATCATTGCTGAGGTTGCCTAGACCACAGTTCTCAGTCAGCTTTTGGTAGTCATCACGACAGCACTGACTGTATGTAGTCTCTGCTGGTTAATGATATCTAGTTATTGCTAAGAGGACCAAATAGATTATTAGCTGCTGTGATGAGTGAAAGGGCCACCTAGAAAAGAATGATTCCCCAAAATTATATCCTGTATGTGAGGTTAAGACTGACTCCTGAATGAGTGTAAAGAAATATGTGGTCAACGTTTCTTCTGTGGTGGTGCAACAGGAAGCAGTTATCTGATACCACTGCAGAACTTTGGAGGGAAAAGAAGCCAAGAAGTGAAATGATTGCAGTTTCCAGGATTCAGCATGTCAGTCTTTACAAAACCAAGAAAGGTAAGAGCAGCTGCAAATGAGCCAGTGTTTGTGCCCTGTAGAAAGTAGGTGCATCTTCAGGTAACCAGACAGGATTTGACTTCGGATGAATTGTGAAAAAATGTTTCCATGGACTCTCTCTTCTCTTTGCTTCTTCCTTATAAGAAAGAAGTGTATGCAGTGCTAAATTGTATGTATAGCACAAAACAGAAGCGTCAGGGGAAATTATAAACCAGGAAAGGATTTTTGCTAGAACCCTATAAAATCACAAAAGAACCGCACTTTACGTTAAGTCTTAAGTGGAGACTGTCATGCTGAAAGCTGAAGTTAGTTTGCGTATACAGATATTGTACAAAAGAAAGGTTAAGCTGAGAGAAGATGGAATTTAGACTTGAACTAGAATGAAAATTAAACAGTTCAGAAGCATAAAGCTAAATGAGAAATCCAAAGCAACAGGGGTGGAAAAAGCAGTGAGTGGATGACAGGACATATTAAAAACAAAACAAAACAAAACAAACTAAAGCAAACAAACAAAAAAACCCCCTATATACAGTAAAGCAAAGATAGATGGGGAATGAGCAAGTGCTAACAATCAATAAGAAGTGATTGACTGAAGTGAATTGTGCAAGGCCTTGAGGGAAAATGTCAGACAGTACATTGGAAAATGGAAAACCAATGTGATCACTGAGATCCTTTGGGGAAGTATGAGCTACAAGCAGATGTGAAAACAACAGATTTGCTAGTGAGTGATGGAAAAGATCCAGTTGTGGAATGCTAATCACCATGCTATGAATGTATGAGGATGCATTCCTGTAGGTGATAACTGAACAAGTCATCTATTTAGCCACTCACAAATGTTGTTATGTATTTACTTTATTTCTTGTTTCTATATAAGAAAAGTATACTTACTTTTATTACTAGAAAGCTGTATTTTGAGAAATTCCCTTCTGGTTCCTCTGGAAATTTTCTGCTCCTCAGAGTCATTATTTATAATTTGTAATAAGGTTGGAAAAGTGAAGCAAACTTAATAGGGTCTGGGTATAAAACCTTGTAACCACACAGGTAAAATATGAATGCTTTATTGTGGAATTGGCATTCATTATTTTACCTGCAAAATATAGCTAACATCAGATTTAGATACCCATTAGGTGATATTCAGCTTCAGAAAAGGCTGTTCCACTTATGCAGAACAGCTTTGTCTTTTTTAACGTTTGCCATTAAGGCTTGTATCCTAGCACTAATTAACTGAAGCAATTAGGGATGGGCAAGCAGAGCACAAAAAGATTAAAAGATTATTTTGAAGTGTAATAGCTGCTTGATAAGTTTAACAGCAGACATCTTTTGATCCTGCTCAGAGGTCTCATCGAACTAACATATATGTGCATACTGTTTTACCTGTATCCTTTACTAAACTAAACTGGAGAAAGGCCGGCACTTTAACAAAATATATGGCATCCTTTCTGCAGATAAAGATGAGCTGTCAGAGTATCTCTGCTATGCTATTCTTGCCTATGATGCCATCAGAAATCCTGTTGTAGTAAAATGTGCCTATTCTGGGGTCTAGATGTTGTATTAAAGGACAGTGTCTTAAAAGATAAAGACCTCAGATAATTTTCCTGTTCATAACTCTAACAAAAGTAATATAATCAGGAGTGAGAAAACAAGCATGGTTTTCAGGTATATCTAAAAATATCACACTTGATTGTGTTCCTGAGAAAAGTGTACCTTTTAGCCTGCTTTAAGGGTCAGTAGATTTTAGCTGTTTCAAACCAAAGGTGGGAGTAAATTGCAAAGCAGCCTGTCCCCTAGTGAGTCAGTCTTGCTGACAACTCACTTCTTTTTTTCCTTCTTTAATACCAAATGTGTCTGATGTGAGTCTTTCTGCTGACAGCAGCTCTGGCAGCATGGCATGGGTGGACAGGTGGTTTCTTAGATAGATAAATCCCATGTTATTTAGAGTTCTAGGGATCAAGAACAACACCATAAATTTCATCCAGGCGTTGATAAGAGCCCTGTGCAGGTATTGGAGCTTTGCTGTCGTACTCAGAGTAAGATACACTATTTGGTAAATGTGCTGCTGCAGTCCAAGCTAGCTTCTGTTACCAGACTGATTTAGGGGATTCTATAATGTGGAGGATATTGTCTTTTGTCAGTAAACATTTAGGTACTATTAATGATGTGTATCCTGTACTTTGAGCAGGTCAAAGGCTGAGAATGCCAGCTACCAGCATCTCTCCCCCTAGCCTCTCCCAGTGCAGTTGTTAAAGGACTTTTCAGTTATGTAAACTTCGTGACCATTCAGCCATGTCATTTTTGAACTTTGATGACTGCAAAGAATATTCGTCATCAAGAGAATAGCTTCAAACATGGCCAAGAGGGAAAAGGATGGCTACCCACTAGTAGTTCCTTAAAGGTGACGTGGTATCTGTAAAAACTGAAACCCCTATTCAGCCTGAAATCTGAGCTTTTGCCCTGCCTACCAGGTGTGCCTCCCTGAAGTATGTCTTGATTTGAAAATGCTCTTCTCTAGCTGTGTTCTTTTATATCTGTGTAATTCAAAATGTAGCCATGTGCCACTTCGGTGTCCAAGGACAGTGTGCTGTTTGTGCCAGGCCAGTTAGAAGAGGCTTGAATTGTAGTTTAGAGATAATAAAGCCACTAGTCAGCTGGAGCTAGCCCTTTTGGAATAATAAGGAAGTTGCAGGGCCATTTTATCAGGCAAACAAATTTTGTAAGTCTTCTTACAACCCTGGATGCCTCTTCTGTCAGTCCTTTTGTCTTCAGTGGTAATTTGAGTCACCAGCAGGAGGACAACCTGTCTCTTGTTGTAACAGCATGTCTCAGATTTTGGGCAAGGTTTAGTGCTGTATAATCCTTCACTGAAACAGAGGTGAGATATGTGTGTGCAGATACCACAGAGAAATGGAACAAAAATGCCGAAGTGTTCTTACCGTTGTAGAAATCCAGTAACTCTGAAGTGGATAGATGGACTCTTTAATAA